GGCTGTGCCTGGTCAGCGTGCAGTGCACAAAACAACAAATTCAAAGGCAGCGATAACAAAAAGTGGTCGTAATAAATAGCTGTCGCATTAAAAGTCTACTGAATTAAAAGGCGGCCAACTCATTCGCTGCCGTATTGAAAGTCCGCTGTATATATCTAAAAAATCACCGTAGTAAAAATAAGCCAAAATCGGCCGTATTTAATGCGAGATCGAATCAAAAACAGGCAACTCTAAGCTCTGTTCACAAATAATTTTTAAGTGTATAAACTTGGTGTAAGTGGCAAGTTGCGTGAACTCTCCAACATGTGTAAATCCACTTAAATATAAAAAATATATTAATTCAAGAGTACATTGCAATGTGAAAAACTATCGCAATTCTTGCCTTGTCATGTTCGTTCGTTCATGTGCATTCATACCATAGAACATTTTTGTACCTGAGAAATGTATGGGGACTAGCAGTCCATGTATATAAGGTCTATGGTTAAAACAGGTAAAATAATAGGAGGGCAAAGCGGGCGCTGAGAATCCCTGATAATAATGTATATTAAATTATTACTAAGAAAAATGTAATTTAGATATTATAATTACTAAAAACCTATTAAAATATAATACGAAATTATAAAAATTGTAGGCAACATTATTGGAACAATTAGAAAAAATCCAAGGTAGTACGTATTGTACTTTTACCGCGGATACTATATATTAATTTTTTCTGAATTTGTTGTACCGTTTAAAAGATTTCAATTTCCAAAATAGTGTGGAAATTAAGACCATCATTTTATTTAAAGCAGTTAAGAACAATTAACATCACTCATATTGATTTTGGTGTGAAGAGTAACTTAAAAAACATACTTATTATTTTTAGGTAAACTGTATATATTAGTAAAGGATTGTAAAAATTGTAGACGTGGGTACAAGACAACGTCTGTCGGATCATCTAGTATATATATTAAAATTTAATTTATTTTTTTATGTAATTTATTTATCGATATCCAGGTAGAATTTTCCCAACATTGTATTCTCCTCAGGAAATTGTTTTCTCCATTCGCCTTTAAAGTATATGACGTTCAACAGCACCATAAACATCCGCTGGAGCAAAATAAATTTGTCAATATGTGATCAAATAAAAATCAATTTTATTAAAAATTCACCACCTTCCGTGGTTGACCAATTCCGTGATGTGTCCTCTTGTAACATTGGCGACCCACTGATTTATAATGGCAGCACTATCGTATTTGGTGACAGTACCATCACTGTTATTTTTATTTATTCCATTTGTGAAATCTAAAGACCCGATATCCGAGTCGTAGAACATTTTGGCAATCGCGTTGAAGCGTTGCCTTGGCTGGATCATGTGGGAAATGTAAATCCTGGTGTCGAAATCTAGATGGTAGGCAGGATTCTTGGCCTGGAGGAATAAATTGTAATAAAAATATTAAGTAAATTAATAATGTTTGAATGTATTCAACCTTTAGTGAAGCTATAATTTTTCCTGCACGTTCCCTGTTGCTCTGGTAACTATCAGGAAGGGAGAGTAGTCTCAAAATTTCCAGCTTTTGTCTGATATTTTGGCCTGCAGTAATATGAATTTGAGAAATATATAATTATCTTTACGAGCATAAAAAAAGCTAAAGTTATGCAACGTACATTTAAACAAGATTTTAAATTTATGTATAGCATAGTATTACAGTGTGTATATATTTACTTGCGTTCTTATATACCAATAACTTTATAATGTTTGTGATGTGTATTTTCACATTTTTAAAAATAAATTTTTAAATTTTCTATATTTTGAAAATTGGTTTTATTTTATTATGAACACCATTTAAGCTGTTATAAAATTATTAATTATTGAAATACACTTGTAAAAATTGTAATGATCAATTAAAATAATCATAAAATGGGAAAAGTAGTATTTATTATATGTTATTCATTTAATTGTTTTTCAACTTTGCAAAGGAGTGGTTTGTTTTCACTAGATAATTCAAATTGCTTTATATTTTTCTTTTGACCTTGGTTTGATTTTTTTCTTGGTTTGACTTCCCGTAGGGTAAGTTATAGTAATCGCAAAAAAATCGAAATTGAAAATATATATCTTTACGTTTCAGAGGTTTCTGAATATTTTGGCATACCTTAGGAAAAATGGATGTATGTGTGTGTGTTTGTGTGTGTGTGTGTGTGTGCGTAGTATGTATGTGTGTGCGGATACAAATTTTCGTTGACGATTTCGGGAACACGGATGAAGCAATTTGAATAATTTAATCCGTATTGATAAGGAGACGTGCTGATTAGTTTTTGGCGGAGGTAGGTCTAGCCGTTCCGAAGATATGGGGCAAAAAGTGCCAAAAACGGTACCTCAGTTTTTAATAGAACGGAGCGTTCGATTTTAATAATTCAAAAAACATTTTACTTGTATTGACAAGATGAAGATTTGATTTTTATAAGGGCAGGTTTAGTGGTTTCGGAGATATAACGAAAAAAGTAAAAAAAAGGCCATTTGGCGGTCAAAAATGATTATTAGACATATGCACATCAAATTATCAGATATTTTATAGAGATTTTAACAATAAGTATAAATTTTGTTTACATTCCTATGGGTTCCGTACCAATGTTTACCCGTTAGACAGCGACGCGGCGCTTGCGCGCTTTATATTTTGTCTCTATGCATTTAAAGCAGTATGATTGCTTTGAAAAAAGTTCAGATCTTTCAACATATGTCAAAATAAAGAAAACATTTTTTTTTTCAAAAAAAAAAGATTTAAAAAAAAAAAATTTAAATATTTTTTTTTTCATTTTTTTTTTCAAAAAAAAGTAATTTTTTGTCAAATTTATAGTTTCTCAAAAATCTTATTTTTTCGAAAATGTTACTCGTTTTTAAAACAAATAATAATTTTTGGTACGGGAAGTTCCAGCAATTTGCCTTAAGGCACGATGCCCTAATTGCCTTAAGACAGAATTCCACTTACAGCTAGTTCATATTTCAAAATATTTAACCAACTCTACTCTCAATAAGTACACAGTAAGACTCTTTTGCGCTAAATTTATTAGTTGACAATAGTTTTGTGGCTAGTTTGTATCATCATTAGTAATTTTATTGTAAACCAATAAGTCAAAACTTGAAAAAAAATTGTATGTTTGTATTTATATAATATTTAATGGCTGCACGTGTTGCAGGAATGTAGAACTAAATTTTCTACCAAAATTTAAAAGCAATTCCACAAAACTATTCTGATTTTATTAGAAAATTGCTTTTGTTAATAAATTTCAAAATTATTCATGTATATGAGCGATATATAAATAAAACAGTGAAAACTTGTCTGTATATTTAAAAATGTAAAAATATTTAAAAAAAATTGTACCCGAGAAAGGAAAAGCAAACAAGTGTACTGCAAAACACAGGTTAGTGAAAGAAAATAAAATTTATTCTACACCAAATTTATTTCAATAACCAACGACTAATTCATTGCAGTGTAAATTTTTAGAGAGTTTATTAAAAGAATGGAATATCGTTGTTTAATTTATTAAACCCTTATTGTTAAAATTGAAGATTCAAATGAACGTCGTTTCGATTTCAAAACAGAAGAGGCGTTCGAGTTTCTGTAACGCCATCTTCGACCGAGCGAACGTGCACGCTCTGCAGTCGCACGTCTACAAGTCTTTTGCACATCTATGCTTTGCGACTATAGGAGTTGGGAGAGGGAGTTGTCTATGGAGTTGTCATTGCTAGAGTTCATTTTCATCGTGGCGATTGCTGGAAGAACACAACGAGACGTCGTCGAACACGGACGAGCGGGCCTGACCCTTCGCTGTCTGTGGAGAACATGCGTCACCTGGTACGTTGTACTTGTGCTAATTATATTTCTCTTTGCGGATTTCATTTCGTGTTTTCGAGTTTTAAGATGTTTTAGATTTAATTGAAACCTTTCCTCATTTCTGTTTTTTTTTTTGGAAAACGTGTGCTCGATTTATGTAGTTTTTGCTCAAGTCGTACTACTGTCTAAGACGTACGCCGGATATATTTTATCTGCTTATTTTATTTTGCATCATTTGGTGCCCACTGTTAAATAAAACTACATATTATTAGTTTGTTGACTGAGCAAGAGTTCACAATTGAATGGCTGGCGGTCATTGTGCAGAAGAAATAATCGAAAGTAATAGTAAAAAGTTGTGAAAGTAAAAAATAATGACTGTTAAGTCATTTTGAGAATTACTATGAGTACATTTATACGTATCGTTTAATTTGAAGTCTTATTTACATCATTATCATCTGCTAATTCATTTCAATTTATAGATCAGAAGTATTGTGTAAATTGGATCACAATCATCATGACATAAAAAATTTTAAAGCAAAATTACTTTTCCATAAAAGCCATTTTTTGTTTTAAATGCATAATTTTAGTTATTGAAAAAAAGTTACAATTTGAACAACAAATTGCCAAAGAATAGTTACAATTTGAATGAATATAAAGATGCAAACAAAGACTATTCTGTACCTCGCTGGAGCGCTGCATTGCATACGAAGACAGCTTCGGTGACGCATCAACAATGACATTTAATAATGTACGTATGTATAAACAACTAAATTCAATAATAATTTGTGTATTTTGCAGGTGCGGCTAAGTTTGCGTTTGCTACTACCAGAGTCCTTCAATTTTTGTACGAACATTGTTACTGTGACGCCATGAATGTGGTATTTATTGGAATTGCATTTGGCACGAATAGATTTATTAAGCGGTGATTTTGTTCAAGATATTAATTGATCAATACTTTAGTTGTCACTATAACTTTTAGAAATTTACAAAATCATTAAGGCATTGAATTTCATGATTCGAATGATCACGATATGTCTTGCATGTGGGTTAATTTATTAGTTAGGTAGCATCAGTAGTTTTAATATTAATAATAACAAATACTAATACACTAATCTATTCAACTATTGAAAAATAATGTGGTCGTTTGAATCATTTGAGATTATGCAATGTAGATTTGACATATTACATTAGATTTTAATTTTCACTGTTTTCAATTCATGTTAATGCATTCCATATAAAACCAAGCGCAATTCTTAAACTGCTAGTAAATTTCTACATTCTATTTCTGGTCATCAAGATAAAATCATATGGAGGCCACAAGATATTATATCAAGCAAATTGTTGAGTATCGAATGGCCAAATATCGAGTGAAAATTGAACACTGACTCACTTCACCGGGAATCGCTCTGAAAATAATTTAAAAAGTACGTTTTTATCCATAATCAGTATAAATGTGAATAATAAATAACATGTTTATTTTTTTTCAGGTTCTTTCAACTACTGCTGCTCTGCACACTGACCCCTTCACCAGGAATCGCTCTGAAAATAATTTAAAAAGTACGTTTTTATCCATAATCAGTATAAATGTGAATAATAAATAACATGTTTTTTTTTCAGGTTCTTTCAACTACTGCTGCTCTGCACACTGACCCCTTCACCAGGAATCGCTCTGAAAATAATTTAAAAAGTACGTTTTTATCCATAATCAGTATGAATGTGAATAATAAATAACATGTTTATTTTTTTTAGGTTCTTTCAACTACTGCTGCTCTGCACACTGACCCCTTCACCAGGAATCGCTTTGAAAATAATTTAAAAAGTACGTTTTTATCCATAATCAGTATAAATGTGAACAATAAATAACATGTTTATTTTTTTTCAGGTTCTTTCAACTACTGCTGCTCTGCACACTGACCCCTTCACCAGGAATCGCTCTGAATATAATTTAAAAAGTACGTTTTTATCCATAATCAGTATAATTGTGAACAATAAATAACATGTTTATTTTTTTCAGGTCCTTGCAACTAGTGGTGCTCTGCACTCACACTACTTCACCAGGAATCTTTCCAGAAACATTTTACCAGGTATGTGTTTATCCATACCAGTATAAATGCAAACATTTCTAAAATGTTTCTTTTTTGCAGATCTTCTCAATCCAACTATTACTGCCCTGAAGCTATTACATGTGAATGACTCGCAAGTGTTTTTTTTTAATAACTGCCTATAATTATGCATGATTAACTTAACTCTTATTAACTCAATAACATGACTAACCTCACTAACTTAATCAGTTATTATAAATACCACTTGTTGAGTTTTACTATGAAGGTTTTACTGAGATTGCTTGGAAGACGGGGCTGAATGATTAATCAGGTAATTTATTATTATAGTATATTTCATGAGACTTGTTACTAATTTGTTTTTTTTTTATAGGGTAAACGACAACTACAAGCCAAGTGGTGAACTCTCAAGTTGCTCATGAGTGAAAACAATAATTTCATCTACTAATTATGCTGTCCGTCCGTCCGTCCGTCTTGTCACCAGAGAAGATGCCTACTGTGATTCATTGAATAGTTAAGTGCCTAGATGTTAATGAAATAATGAATAAATATATTGTATTTGATTTAATTTGTTGTTTTAATTTAATTATGAGCCACTTTACGGCCAAATTACATTATGCTGTAACGTAAATTACAAAAATATTTAAACATGTCTAAATTTTAAAAATTTCTTGTGTTATTAATAGGGATACTTATTGAGTGCACTTTTTAGTGTAAACAATTGTGTAGAACAGCTTCTTTACTGTTTGCAACCATCTTGCTTTGACTCGGTAGAAACGCGCTGATAATAAACTTTGCTTTTTTGCAAACCCTTAAGTTAGTCGAGTGCCTTAAACATTTAATACGCCAGACGACTGATGTTTTCTCTTGTTTAAATATTTTAATTTCCATTATTTCTTTAAATGGTGCACTCTTTTTCTTAGCTATAAATATCACTTAATTTAATATCATACTGTATTATTATTAATATAAATATACATACTAGAGATGGGTAACTCACTCCGGAGTTATCACTCAGATACAACTCCTACCTCGGAGTGAATCCGAGTGGAGTTGTCTCGCCGGATTTGTCATATCCGACTTCCCTAAACTGGTTGTTTTTTCAATGATTGTTGTGATTGAATTTTGAAGGACCAATTGTAAAATACTATAATTTGTAACTAGTAATATTTATTTTATGTTAATAACAAGTTATAAGTGTATTTACAATAATTTTAATATGTTTGTTGATAACGTATTGATTGATTTTATTTATTATGTGATTTTCGACTGATGATTTTTTGATTATATATCAATCTAACCGCATGCTTTAATTGGCGCGAACACTGGTACTAAGGAAGCTGTCGCTTTCTCGTCTTCTAAACAGGCAGTTTTATGACCTTTTAGGTATACGTTTTTTTCCAGAAAATACAAAAATATTACTTCAAAGATACAGAACAATGAAATTGTGTTCAATTGTGAATAACTCCAATGTATAATTTATTGAATAGTAAGGGGTCATATTTCTAACTACGACAATCTTTGACCGTGAATTTGGACACATTTAGTCTGTTTTTTCCATAGCCTGAAATAACAATACTTTTAGAGTGTAAAATATATCAGTGACGTCAATGTATTTAAGCAGCAAAAAATATTTATATTATATTATTACTTTTACACAATTATATAATTGTATAAAAGTAATAATATGCTAATCGAACTACCTGATATAATATTAATTCTCGAATGGAAATAGCAGAAGAAAAAATTATAAAGCAGAAGTAATATTATTTGATGAAAATATTTTATGATAAATGTTTTGCTTTTATTACAAAGTTTACTACGTTATTTTTATATAAAATTATTCCAAAAAATCAATTATTTTCTCATCAAAAGAAAGTTTTGCGTTTTTACTTTGGTCAACACTGTTAAAATTACGAGTCGTTGAGTCGATCATGTGGTCGACCGAAAAGTTTTAAAACTCGTCATTTATTTGTGAATTTTTTAGAAAAATTATTTTATTATTATAATTGTAATTTTATTTTATTCATAAATTTTCATTTAAAAAAATTAAATGGGATTTGGCAAATCCTTAGATGCATAAACAACGCACTTCGACGCATTTGTGTCGAGTATTTCGGTTTCAAAGTTGTCGGAGTCGTGGAGTTGTTAAGCGGATATAACTCCTTCCTGAAGCGGAGTTAAATCCGAGTCGATCCGGCTTCGGATATGATAAGCCCATCTCTAATACATACTATAATATATTATAGTTAATGTATTTTAGTCATCTTCATTACGGCAATTGTAAGAATAAATTAATATAATTGTATTATTAAATACTGTGATACATTAAGAGTTTTGAATAAAACTAACTGAACTTTATTTGGAGTGTTTCATTTCACACCATTTTCAGTGATATATATTAGAAACATAAGATACAGGTACAGGTATTATAAACTGATAAGCTAATGTTATTATGAACATTAATATGCTCAATAATTCGTTCTTCGAAGAGGATTTAATATTTTGAATAAATTTTATATAATATAATTTTTGTAATCTAATTCTATCATGATCAATAAAGTTAATGTAGTTATAACTTTGGCCATTTTAAATAGACTAATCTATGGTTTTTCACTCATTTCAATCATGTCAAAAATATTAACTTAAATTTTTCAATCACTTTAATCTGTATTATTATTTAAAGTCTTAATCAGATCATTTGAATTAATATACCTTGTATATTGGTCAGTTTTCTTAACTATAACTTATAAAAAAAATTAAGTTTTCAGTGTTGGTGTTATTTTCTTCTTTTCGAATATCTTTATCAATACTAATATATCTTTATTTTGATTCGCGTAATTATTACATTAATTACATTAATATTCCTATCATATTGACGCTACCATCTCCTACCTTACTTCACACTACCCTACCTTAACCCCAATACTTACCCACGTTAAGAACTAATACTCTTACCTTGCTTACCTCTACCACGTCTCGATCCTGCTACCACGTCCTCTCCAGTGACTCCCAGCTCCTAACGCGCGACGCCACGACGATCACATTAGTAAACCGTTGCAAAGTAGATGATATTGTATATTTTAAACAAAAAAAAACTAACAGGTCATATGGCCAAAAAAAAGTTGATTTTGTGTGGCCTCTGTTGGCGTAATGGATAGATTGATGGCATCGTACCTTAAAGGTACCGAGTTCGAATCATACCTCAGGACAAAAAAAGAGTATTGTTCACGTTGTGGTATTTATTTAGTGTTGAATAACACAAAATTAATATTTAGATATAACAAACTAACAAGTCATGAGGCCGAAAGAAAGCAGAATCAATGTGGTCTGTGCTGGCGTAATTGGTAGAACGATGGGTTCGTACCCAAAGAGTGCCGAGTTCGAACCATACCTCGGGACAAAAAATGGAAAGCGTGGTATTGATTATTTATTGTAAGATAGCACAAATATAAAATTTGGATTTAATAAACTAACAGGTCATGAGGCCGAAAAAAAGCAGAATCGATGTGGCCTGTGTTGGCGTATTGCTAGCGTGCTAGCTTCATGCCAACAGGGTACCGAGTTCGATTCATACCTCCGGACACAAAACGCAAAATAGCGTGACTGTTGACGCTGTGGAACGAGGTATGCACGGAATCACATCCGTTCGAATTTGAAACCCCAGGTATGCTCCCCTCGATCTCGATTGAGAGGAGAGATACGCGCGAGAATCCCGTATCATCCCCTAATGAACCCGCAGCAGCCCCGAAAAGGGGCGAGGGGGGATTATAGGGGGGTGTGGGGTTCGCGAACCCGCAACCCTGTGGTCCCGCCCTCGAAAAAGGGAGAGGGGGGACTATAGGGGGGTGAGGGTTCCGCGCGACGACCACCACTGGGTCGCGCCGATTGAAAAGCTGGGTGCGTCACAGGTTGGGTCGGGGTGCGAGTCCCCGGAGCACCCTCGAGAGCGATGATGGGGGTGTGGGGTGGGGAAAATGCGGTGACGAGGAAAAAAGGGGTGGAAAGATATGAGGAGGGAGAGATAGGGAGGGAGAGATAGGGGAGAGATAGGGTGGTGGGAGAGATAGGGAGAGATGAGAGATAAGGGAGAGGGAGAGAGATAGGGGAGGAGGAGAGAGATAAGGGGAGGGAGATGAGGGGGAGAGATAGTAGGGGAGGGAGAGAGGGGGGAGAGATGAGAGGATGGATGAGGAAAAGAAAGCGATAGGCGAGACTAAACGCATTTACAAATGTGTTAAGTCTGCGACGTCGCTCCATCCTCCCTCGGTCTCTCTCTCCATCTCTCCCCTCCTACCTTATCACTCCCCTCATTATCTCTCCCCCTATCTCTTCCACCACCCCTATCTCTCCCCCTATCTCTCCCCCTATCTCTCTCCCACATCCCTATCTCTCCCTCCTCATATCTTTCCAACCCTTTTTTCCTCGTCACCGCATTTTCCCTCACCCACACACCATCATCGCTCTCGAGGGTGCTCCGGGGACTCGCACACCGACCCAACCTGTGACGCACCCAGCTTTTCAACCGGCGCGACCCAGTGGTGGTCGTCGCGCGGAACCCTCACCCCCTATAGTCCCCCCTCTCCCTTTTTCGAGGGCGGGACCACAGGGTTGCGGGTTCGCGACCCCACACCCCCCTATAATCCCCCCTCGCCCCTTTCGGGGTGCTGCGGGGTTCATTAGGGGATGATACGGGATTCTCGCGCGTATCTCTCCTCTCAATCGAGATCGAGGGGAGCATACCTGGGGTTTCAAATTCGAACGGATGTGATTCCGTGCATACCTCGTTCCACAGCGTCAACAGTCACGCTATTTTGCGTTTTGTGTCCCGGGACTGGTAACACAGGCCACATCGATTCTGCTTTTTTTTGGCCTCATGACCTGTTAGTTTATTAAATCCAAATTTTATCTTTGTGCTATCTTACAATAAATAATAAATACCACGCTTTCCATTTTTTGTCCCGAGGTATGGTTCGAACTCGGCACTCTTTGGGTACGAACCCATCGTTCTACCAATTACGCCAGCACAGGCCACATCGATTCTGCTTTCTTCGGCCTCATGACTTGTTAGTTTGTTATATCTAAATATAATTTTGTGTTATTCAACACTAAATAATACCACAACGTGAACAATACTCTTTTTTTGTCCTGAGGTATGATTCGAACTCGGTACCTTTAAGGTACGATGCCATCAATCTATCCATTACGCCAACAGAGGCCACACAAAATCAACTTTTTTTTGGCCATATGACCTGTTAGTTTTTTTTTTGTTTAAAATATACAATATCATCTACTTTGCAACGGTTACTAATGTGATCGTCGTGGCGTCGCGCGTTAGGAGCTGGGAGTCATGGAGAGGACGTGGTAGCAGGTTCGAGACGTGGTAGAGGTAAGCAAGGTAAGAGTATTAGTTCTTAACGTGGGTAAGTATTGGGTTAAGTAGGTAGGGTAGTGGGAAGTAAGGTAGGAGATGGTAGAGTCAATATGATAGGAATAT